TCCGCAGATTCAGGGATGCATGACTGCATGCTTGGCAGAAGATGTTTTCGTGTGGCATTCAGTGGGCTGCAGTTCCAGATAGTTCTTACAACATCCCCGAGTCCTCGCCACCTTTTGAGATCGATGGAGGGATAGAAATTCGCTAAGATCTCCCTATCAAAATAACAGGTCTACGAGCGCTACAGACCAGCCAACGAACAAAAGGGATTCCTAGACCAACAATTCCCTGAAGATGGTAGAGGTGGAGCTCACAGACCGCGTCCCGGCACCCACTCGTCACGTTGTGCCTTGGGTCTCCCTCTCGAGCCCGCCAGCAGCCGCACAGCGGCGCGTGATATAGGCAGAATAGCATTGCCGACAAAGGCAAGGGGAGTCCGGTTGGCTAACACGTGTTTTAAATAATTTTTCGTCAGGAAAAATTTTTTCAGGAAATAGTGAAAATGTACAAAATTAACAGTTATGACAGTGGGCGCTCGCCGATCAGGTTACAGAACATGCTCGTTCCGTTGTGCCTTGGGGCTCATACTAGAACCCTCGCAGGCAGTCGCACAGCGACTAATAGTAGACATAGATGAGACGGAGCCGAAAATCTCAAGTGATCCACACTTGGGGTTGGGTATGACTGGCTGATGACGGCTAATAAGCCAGAAATGGCCATTCCGGTCTCCCTTGTCTTTGTCGGTATCATCTCATCTATGTCTACTACTAGTCGCTATGCGACTGCCTGCGAGGGTTCTAGTATGAGCCCCAAGATACAACGGAACGGGCACTTTCCGTAACCTGATCGGTGAGCGCCCATCTGTCATAATTGATATTCCCGATCACAACCGACAGGACAACGGGACCGTGGCTCAATGGTAGAGCGTCAAACTCCATAAGTAAAGATCCCGGGTTCGAATCTCAAGTGAGCCACACTTGGGGTTGGGTATGACTGGCTGATGACGGCTAATAAGCCAGAAATGGCCATTCCGGTCTCCCTTGTCTTTGTCGGCTCCATCTTATCTAAAATGAACAGTGTTTATAGGTGTCTCAAGGGCAATTGAGTAATTAACACTCATCTTCCCCACGCCGCCCGCATGACGAGGTCGGCGGGTTTTGATCCTTAGAGCTGGAGGAGGGGGATCAGCGAGTCTTTGAGTGATGTTCTTGGATTGAGCACACGGAGTACCCATCACTGTAATCAGGGATTTGAGGCGGCATGTCGTCATCGCGTGGAGTTGGCGTTGTGTCAGGGTTTTCTGACAGCATAGCATCGGATTCGCTAACCGTACAGCCACTGCCTCGGCCGTTGCTAACATCCGTTGGCGTAGGCCTTTAGAGAAGCTTGTTGCTGTCCGATAGACAAATTGAAATGCTTCCTCGACACGACTCGGTGATCCGTATCGATTAAATGTGCGAGAATGGAACTCGAAACCGATCGGGTCTCACCTTTGTCTAGCCAGGCGGACATATGTTCACGCACCCTCTTTACCAGGCGTCTCGTTGTGCAGCCGATGTATCCCGCTCCACAGGAGCAAGTGAATGAGGAGATGCACACTGACAAAATTGCGTTTCTCGATGTCTTTCTACAGAGGCAGGAGGATGGATCTATCCAGCGCAGGGTGTTCCGAAAGAAAACCTGGACGGGACGATACATTAATTTCCACAGTTTCTTTCCCCTCAACATCAAACGAAATCTAGTCCAGGGATTAGCAGCTAGAGTGAGGCGCATCTGCTCACCTGAAGCTATTGAAGCAGAGCTCCAACAGCCGCAGAACACACTTCACGAGAACGGATATCCAGATAGATTTATCCTCCGAAATGTTGGGGAACGCATTGCAAAGCCCACTGCTGCGACTGCAGAAAAGAAAGATGTATTCATAAGACTGCCTACTGCAGGGGACGCAGCGAGCGAACTAGTCAGACGGCGCTTAACTACATCTGTCACGAGAGCATCCCCCGCGGCGAATTTACGCGTACGTTTCACAAACTCTCCCCTCCTACGTTTGGGAGGTAAAGACAGACTATCGTTGGAGGCCACATCAAGTTGCATCGACTCATTCACTTGCTCCTGTGGAGCGGGATACATAAGCCGTACGAGACGCCTGGTAAAGAGGGTGCGTGAACATATGCTGGCCTAGCTAGCCAGAAATGAGACCCGGCCGATTTCAAGTTACATTCTCGCACATTTAGTCGGTACGAACCACCGAGTCGATGCCAAGGAAGCATTTCGGATTGTTTACTAGACACCAACAAGCTTATCAAAAGGCCTACGCCAAGGGGCGCTAGCAACGGCCGAGGCAGTGGCTATACGGCTAGCGAATCCAGTGCTATGCTGCCAGAAAACGCTGACAGAAGCGCTCTCTCTACCGTGGCCGACACCAACCTCAAATGATGATGATGAAATGTCACCCTAAATCCCTTATTACAGTGATGGGTTCTTCGTGCACTCAATACATTAACATCACTAAAAGGCTCTCTTACCCCCTCGCCTAGCCTTGAGGACCAAAACCTACCGACCTCGTCATGCGGGCGGCGTGGGGAAGATGAGTGTTAATGACTGAATGGCCCTTGAGACACCTTTTTAAGAACGACCGTGCTCTCATCGCTGTAATACTTTGAGGAAAGGGGTTTAGGCGGATTTTGCTGATTTTACTGTGACCACGCATGACATTGCATGGATTGTCACGTATACTGTATTTGATGCTCAATATCGCCGACAGCAAAAATGTGATGCAACGACAAAAGAGTGAAAAACGACAACAGGTTCAACGTATTAGAACTTTGTTAGCTGAATTTCGTTTTTATAATTGCCCTACGTCGGGAGGACATACATGTTACTAAGTTGTCTATGATAGCTTGGTCTACACAATAATTTAGCAGGTACTCCAGCTGTTGTTGTATTGAAAACCATTTTGTTGCTTGGTTCAATTTATTTCGACTAGGGCAATGAGATTTCTGACAGAACTGCGGTCAGCGCTATTGGTAGAAATAAATATTGTTCGCAGGCCGCAGGCAAAGAGCAGACTGTGCTCTGAAAAAGTGGACTATAGTCTTGAGCTAAATAAAAACCCTACCTTCTTTGAACGATGAACAGGGCGATTATCCTGAAACACTACAACGTCAATTTGACATAGATGAATGCCGTCGTAGCCGAAGGTATTCTTTACGATGTCATTGGACATCTTTCTATCGTTGGTCTCCGTTGTTAAACGCCCGACCGATCACCTTTCGAATTGGATGGCCCGTCAAATCATCAGGAGTCGACTGTTCCTGAAGGTTGCTGTATATAAGGTGTTCTCGTGGGAACTCCCCCCACCTGGGCAGACTTCAGACGTTTATTACAACAATAACACCTCAGCACAAAAATAAATGCTTTTTTACTAGGAAATTCTGTGACCACTATAGTCTTGAGCAAACGAAAACGTTCTCCTGCAGGTTTCTTAATGACTTTTTCATGGCGTTTCGCAGATAGAGGTCGAGTGCTTTCATTCCTTTTTTAATTATGCACAGAGAAAACATCGAATGATGTTCCCTGGGAATAGCCTTAGGGGGGCATATAATGTCCTGTCGTAGCGTACAACGAATAAAATCATCGTCCTGCCTGCTTGCAGACTGTTTCGATCCATCTTACCCACTCCTAGGCCCTGTCCTATTATTCCCCAGAGGGTGGCCTGGCCGATATTGAAAACATTAGTCAGCGACTCAGGCGAAAGCCTCCAGCTGCCAATCTTAGTATGAGCTTAAAATGGACGTCCGACAGGAAGCGCCTCGACAACTTCATCGCACAGCATGACACAGAAAAGCGAAAACATGTTGGGGGTAATTAGCATATATTTGCCTACGCCTATAAATTCTGGGTATGGTAGAACAAACTACTGTAGAACAAGTTTATTACTGTATTGTACGGCATTAAAATCTTAAATTTGCAAAATAGACTCGTTAAAGCTCAATTTTTCCCTGCTTCTTTAAAACAGTACGATTTCGCATGTTTGAATCCACCTGATTTTCATGGATACAAAAGCCCACTTTTTGTACCTAGAAGCGATATACGTAAAAATCTCTCCTGCATATATTCATGTTCCTCTATAGCAAGAGGAATTGGCATATCGTATAAAATAACGTAGAAGACGTCCGCACTTGCCTAATCTTGGCCTATTTCTTTTCCATGAGGAAAATTTACAGTACTTAAGTGGTTATTTTTGCAGTGCAGTTTTGGCAAGCGGTCGGGAAGAGGTTCATTCAAAAGCTGGCATACTAAAGTAGTCGAATTATCATGGGATTATGCCGCACGGTGGTTGATATTACAACCCTACTTAAGTAACCTTTTGGGTCGAAAACACATTCCAGAATTTCGGCAAACATTTCATGAGTTAACACATCTGCTGTAGTCGGACGTGGTTGACTTTCTATATGCGATAAATGATGTAAGGATAATTGCTGGACTACCTATTAGAGTTTCACGTCTACGTTTCCAGTCGTTGAGCCCAATCTTCCGGAGTGGCCTATAAGACATGGTCGTCGAGGGCTCAAGCCAATCACTGTGAGGAAAATGCCAGTCTACTGCATCCTTATCAAATGTTTGGCCTGAATTCTGAGAGAAGTACACAACCCAATGCCAACTGATCGATATCTCGCGAGATACTCCCACTGTACTTAGTCATTACGTCATTGTGGGCCGTTTACTGGTATTTCTTCTAATTTGCCGTATGCAACACCAATTCGCGCGCCTTGCGATGTCATTGCACGTTCGTCCCACGTCAATTTGCACAACAAAACTGCTTCGTGTCCTTTCCATCCAGATTTCTGTTCAAATGGAGGCAAAACACATGGTAAATTCCTTTCACTAGCACCAGTTAAAACGGTTGACACTCCTCTTATTTTTCTTAATTCGACAGTTGGGGATTTTGGTGAGGGCTCCTCGGGGCAGGCGCCACCTCGTTTTACGAAAAAATTATTGATTTTTTCGAAGCGGTGAACAAACAATTTGGTAGGGCAAATTACCGGAACGGAGGCCAGCCATGGGTCAGTGCACTTCCACTCCGCAAAAATTTGTAAAACGGTTCAACCGACTCACTAGCGAGGATCGGCGGGAAGTAATTCGCCTGCTAAAACAGGTTTACGATGTCAGCATTGAGGGAATCGCTAAAGATTTCGCGGACAAGTGTATAAATACCGTATCAGGACTGGTCGAAAACGCGCCTATTACTCAGACAACTTGCCTGGAATATAGACCGTTCAAAAGGCTACCACTAAATGGTGATCCAATTTTACACACGACTGGCTTTTTTTCGGATAACGAAAGTCCTTCGCTGGAAGCGGAGCAACCAGAACCGACGATTCCCAGTAAAACGCCCGATGAAGTGGACAGCATTCACGAGGATAAGTCTGAACCTCCGAAAGCTGGGGATGTCCAATCTCCGACAAGGAATTCCAACATCTTAAAACCCGAGCCTGATGCCAAGTCGGAGACTCATTCAGGTCTATCTGGTTGCACATTTACCATACCCCTGGAATTCCAGGGCTTTATGGTGGAAACTTACTGGAATGCAGAAAAGCGTACATCGTCTCGACAGGCAGAGGAACCTCCAGAGGTAAACATTTCCTCCAGAACATTTCCCACTCCGGCGGAGCGAACGCAGTTGGTGCAGTCCTGGCTTGAAAGCCAGCGACTCGATTGCCCAGCTGCTGGTGAAGCAGTTTAACGACTCATCTTTTGGATTGTGCATAAAACTGGTGTGCTTTGACTGCCAGGCTAAAACCTGGCAATGGTCACCAAACTGTAAACTTCCAAACATTTTGCACGTTTGGCACTTTGGAGTTTTCGTGCTGTGCAGTTAAGAGTGTCGCGTTGAAATTTGCAACATTTGGTTTGCCAGTCATCTCACCTGCCCTTGGTTAAGTTGTTACTTGTGTATCACGCAGAAGGACAGATTTCAATAAATGGTTGCCTTTCACTGTTAAAGTAATTGGCTTCAGTGTTATAAAATCGTTTTGCTTGATAGAACGATGAGGAGGGCTAAACTTTGGAGGTTGTAGCGCAGGGGTACGGGAGCATGGACTTACTGTATTACAGATGGCTCTGTCTTAGATGTTAGGGTTTGAAATTGTATCTGGGGTTCGGTTTGTGGTCTTCTTGGCTCGGTCTTGACACTGGCCCCGGGTGGAAGAAGAGAAGCGAGTGCGGTAGATGCGGCGAAAGTCTACTATCATTATAGACTGGTCCACATGCAAGTCACCGTACCCGCTCCCACCCTGGTGTAGGGCATACAATGGACATCGCGGGTCACGACGATGAGAAGAGGCCTAAACGTACGCCAACCAATGACAGACAAGAATGCATAGGCGGGGAAACCAATGAAATTACTAGGAGAGGTATATCGAAAAAACGCTATTGGAATATATCGACTCGATATACCCTTGAAACTAGGGGGGATGTAGTGTGAAGCCACCTGCAGTGCTGGGTTGGGGGGGGGGGTCCATAATACCGTGTCCGACCGCCGAGAGTGTAATTTTGATGGAAGGCAGCACGACAGGATAAAAATACAACCAGTCCCGTGAAATCCATGCTTACATGGTTGCTGCTTACTACTGTCGGGAAGGTGTCTGCATTTGATTATTAGGCAAGGACAGGGTGTGTAACCCGCCAGGGTGATTGGCGTGCTTCACAATGGCTTGCCTGACAGTAGGTTGCGAAAGGGATTATGCAGGAGGCAGATTTTGACCTCCAATAGCGTCATCGTTATTAAAGTCGTCCGTTCTGGGCTCAAGGTTAGGGTTTGGACAGCGATTAGAATTGGTGTTAGTTGGGTTTGGCTGTAGTTTGAATTTAGGATGGAGGCTAGGGTTAGAGTTTTAGGGCTTGGCTTATGGTTACGGCTACGACCGACTCTTCTTTAAATGCTTACAGGCTAGAGATTTCCCACTGAAGGCATGACCATGATTGGCGTCAGGTTTGTAGCTAACTACGGTCTCCCCAAGGGGGTTAAATTTCATACTCTTTCCGATTACTGACCTCGGAAATGATGCTTTTGACCATATGTCCATCATATTCATTTCGTTGAACTGCAGTGACTCAGTCGACAATGGGATATACCTTCTCCCGGGGGATGCATTTGAAAGTATATTCAGCATACTTTTTTCACCTGGTGGCGGCGTACGCCATGTAACCGCAGAAAAGGATAGTGTGTGCTGACTTTATACGTCAACATAGAAAGATGCACTTCTGTAGATATAGAAGAAAAGCTAAGCATCATGATGTATGGTTATATGCACAAGATTCAAGACTTAAAAGATTTAGGGCTTAGTAGGAAATACCAAATTTAGAAATATGCACATTAATATGGGATGGTATCTTCAGTGGCTGGTTCTGCTGGTACCGTTCTCATAGTTACGATGGGAAACATTCAGTAATGATGTTGGAGCGATGACGGGGGTTACCGCGTTCACCCAGATGCAGCCCTGTCTGGGTATTGTAATATTTTAGTCTAACCAGTCTAGATGGTCTCCTTGAACTGTATGCCCGCTTCCTTCAAAAGCCGCGTTCACAAAAACCGTGGACAGAGAAAAGGGAAACTAGGAGTTCCGTTCTGGTTTCATTTGGGTTATCAGTTAGCCACGCTGCAGCCCTCGACGCGGAGAATGGGGGAATGGAATATGTGCCCTGATATTGTCCGTCATTGAGCCACGGGATCGCGCCCGTCATCTGTGATTGGAAATAATAAAGACCGTCTTGGGGTGGGATTCTCGGATTTATCTTGATTTCGGGTCGCTCTAAAGCCCTCGTAGAGACTACGATAATCTAAGCGAAGCAACATAAAGATGCAGGGCTATAACCTACTCAAATAGATATAGTAGGCATCTATTTATATGCAACGAATATTTGGGTTCC